ACAAAGCACTCTAACAAAGCACTTGTATACTAACAAAGTACTTGTATACTAACAAAGCACTTGTATACTAACAAAGCACTTATATACCAACAAAGGACTTATATACTAACAAAGCACTTATATACTAACAAAGGACTTATATACTAACAAAGGACTTATATACTAACAAAGCACTTATATACTAACAAAGGACTTATATACTAACAAAGTACTTGTATACTAACAAAGCACTTGTATACTAACAAAGCACTTATATACTAACAAAGTACTTATATACTAACAAAGCACTTATATACTAACAAAGCACTCATATACTAACAAAGCACTTATATACTAACAAAGCACTCATATACTAACAAAGCACTTATATACTAACAAAGCACTTATATACTAACAAAGCACTTGTATACTAACAAAGCACTTGTATACTAACAAAGGACTTATATACTAACAAAGCACTTATATACTAATAAAGGACTTATATACTAACAAAGCACTTATATACTAACAAAGTACTTATATACTAACAAAGCACTTATATACTAACAAAGCACTTATATACTAACAAAGCACTTATATACTAACAAAGCACTTATATACTAACAAAGGACTGGCTTATCTAAAGCCAGTTGAGTAGCACTTGAAATGTGTTGGCTCTATGAAACCTGATGTACTTATATGATTCTGTTTTCTTCAAGTTTGTATCTTCTTGGTTGAATGCACTTATTGTAAGTCGCTTTGGATTAAAGCGTCAGCTAAATGCAATGTAATCTAACGATAACTTATTGCCAGATACATTTCACATAAATTATAAAGTACAATTCATTGGAACATATTTACAGTAAGTTAAATTAACCTCATGATTTCTCCACCTATTCTTATCTCTTCTTTATCCGCATGGTCAGACGTTAAAGGCCACATTTCAATCAGCTTTTATCCTACATTTTGAAACCCATTGTCCTCAACAGCTTAACGAATGAAATGTAAAAAGTCTCCCTTCTTGTTTGTCTCTCATTATCTCCTGCAGGTCTTCCCAAAAAGCTAAGGCAAACAATATGACCTTTAAACATTTCAATTGATGCAGACCGGCCTAATTATGTCTGGAAACAGTTTGATCACAGATATGTTTCTGATCTTTTAGACTTGACCAGATATTCTGCTTAGAAACCTTTCTGACCCAAAACCCAGACAGGAGCTTCACCCTATACTCAAATCAAATGGATTATTCTGTGATGTGAGCCATGCAAGGAGGATATAGATTTTCATACTCTACAGCAGCTACAGACCTGGAGGGAATACAGCGCCCTCTGCCGTAAGTAGTCTGTGTTCAGCAGCTGCAGCTCATGGAAGAGCTCAATGAGAAAATGTGGACGGGACTCATTCTGGGATATTAACGTAGCCACTTCAGAGTAGATGGTCTCCCTCAGCGCCTCGAACAGGGAGAAGTCGCTGCTTGCGTCTACAAGTACAAGATATGACAGATTTGTTGTTAATGTTTAATATAACTTCCTACACGGGGAAATAAATGGGACTCTGTAGTCATAATGAAAAGATTTGGTTTCGGACAAGCAAAAAGCAGAAGATGCATGAGATGTGTAAGTGACATAATGACAAGCACATGAAGCTTGGGTTTGCATTGTGAGTTTACCTGGTGCTTCTGTGCATGCAATTCTGTCAGAGAGGAAGGGTGTCCTCCAAGCATAGGCTGCGAGTAGGATAAATTAAAGTGACAACAAAGACAATTAAGGCAAAATGAAAACACATGATCTGGACAAATGTGCAAAACGAATTAGAAATGGACAAGATGTTCAATTAAGGGCAAAATAGCACTTAAAAAAAAGCTTAATATGGTCCTTAACATAAAAAGGACAAAAAACACAGACACAAGAGGGCTGTTGGGGGGGGGGCAATCGGATAACTTTCACAGCTTGATTCGCACCAGAGGAGAGGTCGTTTCGTTTGCTCCCCAGATTAGATTTGCTGTCGAGTTTCTCCTGGGTCAGCCTGTCCAACAGACTCTTGTTCTGATCCTTCTGACGGGACAGCGCCGCCCTCTCCTGGACAAAGTCTGCAGTGCTGCTCACACTGTCACTCTCATGGCCTGAGGGAAACACAGAAGGAAAATAAACACACCGAGTTATATGCAGGAATCCTGAAGTCAAATGTAATACCATGTAATACCTTTTAAGACCCTTTCCATACATTTTAAGACCTCATCGCCACTTCGAGTTTTTAACCGGTTACATTGGCGACACACGTTACCTCACGTTTACTATATGCAGTATTGATTGTCCTTCCTCCTTATCCTCCAACCATTTAGACGCAAACTTGCATTTCCCCATAACGATGTTGTTTAACAACCGGCGTAAACGGAGCTTCGCGTTCTGATGACGTCAAATCCAACGGGATGCCATAAATAAACTCTACAGAATCACACTACACACCTACACAATGATTACATTCAGGCAGACTGTAGAATACAACCTCTTTGGACAATTTATATACTTATTGAAAACAAGCTACAAAATGTAATACCTTGGAAAATGCCGTTTAATACTTTTTAATAGCCTTAATTTTCGCTAAATTGATTTATCAACTTTTAATACTTTTTAAGACCCTGCGGACCCCCTGAGAATTCAACTTGATACCTTCACTGTTCTTGAGCCCTTTGCCCCTCCTGCGGCGGCTCTTGGAGTTGGGGGTCTTGGTTCTTGAGGCCAGGTTGGCCTGTGCAGAGGCCTTGCGTCCGGCCTTAAAGGTCTTTGTGACGGTGGTGGGATCCACAGGGTCAGGCATGGTGCTGAAGCTTTCCTGTGATGCTCTGTCAAATTCTTGATGTCTGGGATGGCGGCTGGCAAACATGGGGGAGGAGGAGGGAGACTCCTGGTGCTCCGTGTTGGACTGGTGATGCTGGACGGTGTTGTTCGCATACGAGGTATTAAGCCAGCCAGACGCTCTAGAGGGGTCACATGGAGAACAAATATATCAACAACAATATTATTCAATGGATAAATATAAAAAAATGTTAATATCTTTTTTTCAGGCAGAACTGTTAAATATACCCCGTCTCTGTGGTGGTGTTCAGAGGAGAGCGCTGCAGTGGAGGGGGGAAAGTCATGTACTCTGTTTTGGTTGAGGCGTTGGGGTCTAACTGCTGCTTCCGTTGGTCGGGGGCGGGCTGGCCTGCTGCACTCTGAGGGAACTCGCCCATGGGAGCAGGGAAGAGTGGATATAAGTTAAAGCCTGCAGAGGGAAAGAAAGAAAATATACTTTATTTTCTGACTTTGAAAAGTGAATGAAATCATGACACTTTGGCCTTTCATTTCTTTCATTTCTGCACATCTCAACATCTATCACTTACGGTACTTACAAATGAAAATGACTCATATCAGTAACAGCACCAACATTAACATTGTTTACGCATGTAACAAGAATTACATGTAGAAAGAAATATTCTCTAAATGTTTTGTATTTACATTTCTAAGACATTCTGATTTTCTATTTTTGCTAAAATGCTTTCCCAAGACTTTCATGAAAGCAATGACCTATGAAATCTCATGCTCTTATTGATTTTGGAAAAGCAAAGATGCTTTAAAACTCTACCTCACATCATAACCAAAAACTACTTCAGTTGCTCGAAAGGAGACTATAAACCTTAAAGCCTCATTCCTATGTGTTAACTTGTTGGTCCTAATGCATACCAATCTAGACATGCTTTGTGACAGAATTAATCCCAAGAGCTAAAAATATATGAGTGTGTCATACCGGGAGGGAATGGGGATAAGGCTGCAGTTGACATGTTGTTGGTAGAAGGCTGAAGGTTAGAGGAGAAGGGGAGGAATACACCGGGGGAGGCTGAGGGGCCGGAGCTGGACTCCTGGGACGAGCCGGGCTTCTGGGTCTGGGTCTGCCACCCTGCTGCTGAGGAGGAAGCCTGCTGCTGCTGCTGCTGCTGCTGCTGCTGCTGCTGCTGCTGCTGCTGCTGCTGGAGGAGGAGGTCGTTCAGGACCTGCTTTAGCCTGAAGCAAACGTTAGAGAGAGCATCCAACATTTAAAAAGATGAACTGCTTGATGTAAAAAAATATTCTATTGTAAGGTATTGTTTTTACCTTTGCACGTTGTTTTGCTGCCAGGCCAGCTGGGTGTAAGACTGGTTGAGCTGGTGCATGATCAGGTGGACCTGTGGTGATGACACGTTGTTGGGAAACACACTGTACTGACCTGTCAGCAGGGTTTGCAACATATAAGAGAGTGTCTGTGGAGGGAGGCGAGAGAATGTGTTTGTTTGAAACAACAAAGGCTTGGTTAAGAAGTAGACAGGTCATTTTATAATTATTCTTTTGTTCCCTGAAATATATCAATCTGGTGCACAACATAACTGTCTAAAACATGAAAACACAATTTTCAAGATAAGGCCAGAGGGCTGGTTGGGCCACATGTGGTCCACCACTACCACAAACCACCACACAAACACAAGGCAAACATTTGTGAAACACCAAGAAGGGAGTTTCGGAGAAAAGCTTCACAGTGGAAGTTTTACAAAAGCTCTGTTTTTATTAACCTTTAAGGCCAAATATTGCAAAGACCGGATAGAAAGCTATGAGCAGTGGCGAGCCGTCAGGGCCCTCTAGGCTAGGGTGACCAGACGTCCCCGTTTTCCGGGTACAGTCCCCGTTTTTATTGGCCTGTCCCGTTTTTTTAATATACGTTAAAATCACATATCAAGGTGAAATAAAAACATTTCATGTCATGAAACACCGGGTAAACAGAGTGTACTGCTGATTATTCTTCTACTTTTGTCTTCCTGTTTCTCTTTATCTGCTCCGTAAACTCTCTCATTCTTAACTGCGCTGCTCGCTCCCTTTTCTTGATCGCCCTAACACACCCTTGTAGGAACTTCTGTCATTGTGCTACTTCACTGGGTTTTGGAAACTTGTACCCTACTTTGAAGCATCTTTGATCTAATTGATCTGTGCCTGTCCATTTCGTGTAGTAGGCTTGATAGTACTGTATCCAATATTTAAAATGTTTTTTATATATGAATCACTTCCATATAAAATGCCAGTGTTCAGGCCTTGGTTTGATCATTTCATAAAATAAATAGAATTCAGTCAGAAGATTTAGTTTTGCAGGTAGCGTGGAGAGTAAGAAGAGAAGAAACACTTCAGGAAGATATGTGAAAGGATAGAAGTGTAATGGAGCCTGTCAATTTATACATTGACGAAAACAAATGTGACTGTTAACCAAAGTGTATCTAATAATGTACTATCTATTTTTAAATATCAGAGGAAGAACAGAATGAGAAGGGAAAAACCGGAATAAAGATAAAGAAGCAAAGAGATTGTACAATAGTGAGAAAGAGAAGGAAAGGAAGAAAGAGAAGACCAGTTAAGAAAAGGGAGAAAGTTTGGAGGGGAAGAAAAAGTGAACAGAGTACGAAGAGTATACAAGGATAGTGACAAAGAGCAGAAGAACATGTGCAATGGCTCTTTCCAAGAAATGAAAATGTCACTTAAATGACAATATGATGAAAGAATTTTCCTTCATACGCCCAGGAGGTCAAGATGATACAATGGTTTACTGAACCATTTGTAATTCAAAAGGTTCAGTTGCCAGTGGATGAAGAACAGCAGTAATAGAATATCAACAGACAAAAAAGCATAAAGCCTCTCTCATTGCCCGTGCTGGTGTGACCTCTGTCACCACATTCTTCAAGAAGGTAGACCCTTCCCAGGAAGAATACGATCTAGCTGTGCAGGAAGGTGTCTTTGCATACCACACTTTGCGACACAATCATAGTTTCAGATCTATGGATTGCACAGCACAACTGACAAGGAAGCTAAATGTGATGCCATAGTGAGTAACGTGTTAGCACCATGGGCAACTACCTTGGTAACACAGGACCTAGACCAGGTGGAATTTGTGTCTCTGACTGTCCATTGATGCATCCAATCATGGACATGTAAAGCTGCTGCCAATATTAGTAAGATATTGTAAGATAAATGATAGCACATCAGTGGAAACAAAACTACTCGATTTTGTTGAACTCAAAGAAGAAACAGCAGAGGAAATTGCAGCTGAGGTGGTCATCCAAAAATTCAAAAAACAGTTTGATCTCTTTGTCCCAGTGTGTCTGACAGTGGTGTCTCTCAGTTTAAGTGTCTTTGATAGTATGTCATTCTGCTAGTGTTACTTGTCTGTTGTCTCTATATCTTGTACATATGTTAATTATCAAATAAACTTGAGGCTATAACCTATGTAGTTTGAAAATGTTTTGTTATTAACTATGGAACACTCAATAAGTGAGTTAATACTTTACTCTAACTTCACTTACCATGGTTTTGAAATCAGATTTTCTGAAAGGTTTCATTAATTAGTTAGTTACCATTTATAGTAATTAGTTAGTACACATCAGTTTATTACAGCAGTTAAAATGTTCAAATTACATTGAACCAGAATTGTCCCCCCTTTTTCTTTAGCAGTAAAGAAAATCGGAGATGTTAATGATATATTGACCGCAAAATTCAAAAATGTCCCCGGTTTTAATTTTGAAAATCTGGTCACCTTGTAGTATGGGTATTGTTATTTCAAAACAAAAAGTAGTATAAGTAACTTTGAAGAATTGTCTATGTTGTAATGGCTAGGAAGTCGGAGTGATACTCGAGAGTCTGTTGCGAACGTTTTCAATTTTGACGAGTAGCGGACAGACTCGAACGGGACGTACACACCGCGGGTAGCACGTAATGTACGTCCTACGGACCCTAGGACTTGCACGTCGGACCTCGCGACACGGCGTTACTGCAGTCGTGTATTAAGCCCGTGTAACGTTCTTAGGGCTCTTCTGAGAATCTTTACGTAGTTTGTAACCTTCCCGTCTAATTACCAATAGTTTCATGTTTATAGGTTTTAGTCAAGTCATTTGCCAAAAGTC